ACTTGACGAAATAGGGGGGGAAGTAGGACCAGAAGAAAATTTCGCAGGTGTAAACGAAGAACGTCCGCGTTTTACAGAAACAGGTTTACTGATACTGGGATTCGCAGTCGCAGTACAGTGCAACAACAGTAAGATACTTGAACCGAAAACCGTTCGACAAGCTCTTACGAGTCCTCACCGAGAGAAATGGCGCGAAGCCATGGACAGAGAGCTAGCAGTTCTCAAGAGTCGCAGAACATGGGATTTAATACCGACTTCAGAAGTAAAAGGAAAGAAGGTATTTACCGGAAAATGGGTCTTCCGCGTCAAGACTATTGCAGATGGGTCGTTTGAGAAATTCAAGGCGCGATGGGTTGTTCGTGGATTCGAGCAGACTTACGGCATCGACTATGAACTAACTTTTGCTCCTGTCGGGTGACATACAAGCGTTCGGATTTTACTCTGTGTCGCCGCCTGCCGTAATCTTCGCCTTCGACAAATCAACGTATCAAATGCGTTTCTCTACGCGCCCGTCGACGCACTCATCCTGGTAGAGTACCCACATTCCTACGCTACTAACCCACCGAGCGTATGCCGTCTACGAAAATCCATGTACGGCATTAAACAGGCACCATGACTCTGGCAACAGTACCTACACTCGCAGCTGATCACTGCCGGATTTCGTCAGTTACCGCATGACCAGGGAATGTATCTACTGACCGATGGCAGCAACCATACTCTACTTGTCGCCTACGTCGATGACATCCTCTTCGTCAGTACTACCGATTCTCTTGCTGATGTCTTCATACTGAAACTACAGAAAACTCTACAGCTTACCGTCACTGAAACAGTCTCACAGTTTCTTGGTCTAAACATTACCTGTTCACCGACGACTATTCATCTCACCGCTTCGAAGTACGCAGCAACGCTTGCTGCCCGCTTCAACATCGCACCGACTACAGTCTCTACACCGTACCGCTCACTACCGACTGACCACAAACCGAACACTGCACTATTAAACTCAATCGGTTTACAGATCTATCAACAGCAGTTAGGCTGTCTACTCTTTGCCGCTGTCACATGTCGTCCCGATCTAGCTTACGCGGCCAGTCAGCTCGCTCAGTTTCTTCGCCGCCCCGAAGAAGAACATCAGCTTGATCTTCTCCGCGCGCTTCAGTATTTCATCTCAACACCTGACGTCGGTTTAGTCTACAACGTCATCCGTTGCAAAACACTATACCTACACGGTTTTGTCGACGCTGATCACGATGCTGACTCTACTAATCGACGGTCGCGCACTGGATTTATCTATCGACTGGAACCTATCGGACCTGTTTCTTGGAATTTGACGAAGCAGGAGTTGATTGCTCATCTTCTACTGAAGCTGAGTTTATTGCTGTATGCACAGCAACACGCGAAGGACTCTATCTACAGGAACTATTGGAAGAAACGAAGTTGACGACAACTACCCAGTTTACCCTACAGTGCGATAATCAAAGTGCAATTCGTATCGCGCATTAGCCTGGTTTCGTCAACAGGACGAAACATATTTATCTACGTTACTTTTTTGTCAAGGATGAAGTCGAGAAGGGGAGGATGCGATTGGTGTACTGTTCGACCAACGAAATGGCTGCCGATTTTCTCACGAAGAAGCTGACACGACAGAAGTTCCAGTACTGTAACAAACTTTGCAGGATCTTCAAGAAGTGACACTATCGACGTTCCAGAAATGAAGGTGAGTGTTGTGATATAATTGATACTTAGCATTTCTGTAAGTCGATTAGTTGTAGATAGTGTCAAATCTTACTGTAGAGCATAAGTCCGTAGAATGACGTCAACAAATAGCGCTCGTCATAGGACTGTCGTTTCAGTCACGCGAACAGTCGCACCTCTTCAATATCGTTTAGAGCTCATAGCAAGATAGTGACGAACACATACATTAGCGAATAGGTACTTTTCCTAGAACTATCAAATCCTTGTTAGGTCTTTTTATTATTAACTTTGATTATCCACAAGTTCACGTACTCAGGTTATTCAACCTTGATCTTGACATTTTACAAGACTTCCGCTGACTTACTAGTCTACCATTCCAGTAAAGATCCTGGACCAACACTTGAGGGTTCTCCAAGTGTTCGTGTTTGTAGTTTTGTACTTAGTCTACTACAACACCATACGATTTATTTCAATAATAACAGGCTCATATGACCATAAATATATATACAAGGATGCTACACATACCTTCATAATATCGGCTAAAACAACACCACCGAGGAAGACAATGTGCTTGCGATTCGGAGGATCTTCAATCCGTAGTTTGAATTTTTGCTCGAAATACGAAAACGGGGGGTGATTTATCGAGGTGCAGACAAACACATGCAGGCAAATTGGTTATGAAAAACTCCGGGAATATACAAGTGTCTGCACAGTTATGCACTGGAAGATTTTATGCACAACCATTCACACCTTGAGCCCCTCCTTATTGCCCTTGATGTATGTGCTTTAGGTGGCGATCCCTCACTTCCCTCTCCGACCTCATCCCTTACATCCACCGTATAGCATGCACACACGCATGCAACCTGAACACAAGAATTCCAACCCATCTTGAGCCCCTCTTTGTTGCCCTTGAGTACGTGCTTCAGGCACCGGTCCCTCACTTCTCTTCGCAACCGCGTCCCTCACTCTCCATCGCCTACCACATAATACTCAAGCATGCATCCCACACGCCCAACCGACCTTGAGCCCCTCCTTATTGCCCTTGAGTACGTGCTTCCGGTACCAGTCCTTCACTTCCCTCTCTGAATGCATCCCCCAAAGCATGCAACCAGCCAACCCCCCACACGCCCACCCACCTTGAGCCCCTCCTTGTTGCCCTTGAGTACGTGCTTCAGGTACTAGTCCTTCACTTCCCTCTCCAAATGCATCCCCCAAAGCATGCAACAGGTGTTGGCGAGTAGTTGGCAGCAGGTGCTGGCGGCGAGCTGGCGGACGCTGCTGGCGGCTAGCTGGCTGACGCTGCTGGCGGTGAACTGGCTAGCACTGCTAGCGGCGCGTGCGGCAGGCGAACTAGCTGGCTAATGCGCTGGCTAGCTGGCTGGCGCATTAGCTGACGTGCTGGCTAGTGCGCTGACGAGCGTACGGGCTAGCATGCTGGCCGGCGCGTTGGCTTGCGCGTTGGCTAACGTGTTGGCTAGCGTGCTGGTTAGTGTGCTGGCTAGCATGCTGGTTGGCTCGCTGGCCTGCTGGCTGCCGTTTGAAACAGCACGAATGCTAGCAGGAGGGCGTCGAGGCTACAGAGCGTGAAATTGGAGGACAGGAGGTGCACGAAATTGAGAGAGTTGCACACGCGCAAAAAAAAAGAAGCTACAGTCACGTCGGAAGCGTGAGTAACGGTGGAAGCGTGAGTAACGCCGAAAAAAAACCCTAACCTAGCTCAATACCATGTTAGAGTAGCGGGAAAAAGTGTGTTGCCTGCACTACCACAACAAATATACTTTATTACGTCGTCGAGATCTCGCTCCCACTCTTCGCTGCAAAGAAATGGGAGGGGGTTCGAATACACAGGAGCAATATGGGCTCGACGAAGAAAAATCAAGGCCACTGAGGGTGCGCCTCTAAACGAACGATTAGCGCTAGGATCGTCCCCCCTCCTCCCCTCCCTCTACCCCCCCCCCCCCATCATCCTCATCGTCCGAGTCTCCCATGATGGACTTTGGTGGGGAAAGGCAAAGACTAGGTAAAATCGTTCTAATTGAGACTAGGTAAAATCGTTCAGCTCTAGAGGTTGTGAGAGGGGGACTCTCTCTTGTTTGGGGCAAGGGAGAGTTGGAGAGGACAATGGTTTCCTGCAGTAATGGATCAAACTTGAAGGACAATTGCTGGCTTTGCTGTCTCCTCAGGCGGGGCCCGAGATGGGAGGTGCATGCCACAAGAGCATCAATACTAGCCACATGTGGGTGCGCTACCGAGGCGATGTGCTGGCTGCTGCTGCCACACGAAACATTGTCTTAGTGCCCAATGGGCACACAACCGTCTTCCAGCAGTGGCAATTTCAGCTGCCGCACGCTCGATTGCTGCTGATGCTGCGTAAGAAGATGCCCAAGTGTCCAATGGGCAGAGATGCATCTTCCAAAGTGATGAATCTTGGCTACAAATGACATGTGGTCGGCGGGCGGTGTGCGTGAAACTGCTCAGGAGTCAAGGCCACGAGAACAAGTGTCTATAGGGAGTACGTGGAAAATCTAGGGGTATGCCCCCTACAGTAATTCCCATAAAGTGGCACATGGACCAACTCTGATAAATCATCGAAAATTATACAAATTCTACCCAGAACCATCAAAGTGACTTTCAAAACCACTATGATTTTTTTAGAAACAGGGTGACTCACTCGAATGAAATAAGGCTACTAGTGTCTTGTGGAAGGGTAGATGTATACATATTGGTATATCTCGGCATAGAGCTCACGGTTTGGGGGCCCATTCGATATAGCGTACCCAGCTGGAAGTTCCAGTCATCCACACTTCGCGCTTCGTGCTGCTTGCCCGTGCTGTGGGCAGGCCTGTTGAAGGTGTGGTTGATCCACATGTCCCTCGTTGCAGCGAGTGGATGGGGAGGGGAATGTGGGCAGAAGGGAGCCGCGTCGGCTGACGGTGGAGACTCTCCACTGGAGAGGTTGAGGGAGTGCAGGTCGCGAGCATCACAGTGCTCCACACTGCGCGAAGATTCTCGAATTCATGGGCCCCTTTTCCAGCTCGCATGCCGTGTCCACGCTTCTTCGTCAGCGCAAAGTTACCCTGTTTCGAGACGTTCGCACGTCGGTCAAACTCCAGCCACAGCTGGTGGCAGCCAGCGAAGCGCATGTGATACGCCATGATCAGAACACCACACCGCGTAACTACAGAAGCTGCCACGACTGACTGCTGTGGTAGAGACAGGAGGCAGGTCATAGGAAGTCGGCGGAGTGGCGCCTGGCTAGACGACTATATATGTTCAGGCTTATCAGACGATATGTAGGCAAGTCTTGCGAAACAAGGCTTACTAAGAGCTTAATCTGGGGTCCAAGAAAGCTCGTGCTTCTACGATTATTTGCAATAAGATAGCGAGAATACCGCGACGCAGTTCAAACATGGCTGTGAATTTGCGAGCGTCCAGACGTAGCGTGCTGCTGGCCTTTCTCGTCGGCGCGTTCTTTTTAGTCTCCAACGCACACTTCCAGTCTAAGATCATGGTACGCCGTTCGTTGCTCATGAGCAGAATTGGCTCGCTAATGTCGCCGCAAGCCCTTCTATTTGGTCACTCCCCTTGCTTCAATGCTTGCAATATTATCCGTTTGACAAATTAGTCTCACTTTCGATACCCCATATTGCTGCTCTCAGGCGGATGACACCCCGCGGAGGCGGCTGGTGCGGTACCAGACGGACATGGCGGAAGCAGATGCGGTGCTCCAGCAGCCCGTGCTGCAGCCTGCACGCACCGATATTTCCCCCAGCGGGCCCGCGCCTGTCGAAAGGTACGCTCTTGGCAACACCGCCCGCGCACCCGCCTGTCTCGTGCGCCTGCGCCCATCCCCGCCAACACCTCGTCAAATAGCCGTCCGAGCCGTCACTGCCGCCTTCCCATCCTCAATGTCTTGCGCCTACCCCAGTTGTCGCCGTCTACTCCACCTCTCTTCTCCTCTTCTCACTTGTGAAACCCCTTTCGTCTCTCCCGTTTGCGCGCCTTTCTTCAACAGATTGTACGAGGCGGGCCTTGGGTCCTGCGGCATACCCGATATTGACGACCCCGATGAATGCGTAGCGGACCTCGCGGCGTTCCCCGCGCTGAACCGCAACAGCGCCAAGGTGCGCCAGCTCGCGTGCTTGGCGCACAACTACCTGCGCCCCTGGATGGGCATTCCGGGAGTCACGGAGGGCATGGGCGCGCGCGGGATGATCAGCCCGAAGCTGCTGGGGCAGATGGCGACGATGTCGAGCGTGCTGTCCTGCTCGGGGCACGTGCGAATCGTCAAGGGCGAAATCTTCTTCCGCTTCGGTGGATTCGAGTTCGATTGGTACAGGATGCGCCGCTTCGTCTTCTCCATCCGGATGATCGAGGAGGCTATTAGCGAGTACAAACTGCACAACCTGAACGCCGAGTTCTTTATCAGCACGTGCGACCTCCCCACCAGCCGAGTCAGCTCTGTAGCGAAGCACCGCGCAGGCCTTCCGATATTCTCCCCCCACGGCGCGCCGGGCAGCGTGGACATCCTGTACCCCGACCCCGTGGATCTGAGCAAGAGCTACTTCAGGGACGTGGAGGACGCTGTGCCGTGGGAGCAGAAGCACGGCCGCGCCGTGTTCCGCGGCGGCATGACTAACTTCTTCGTGCAGTACGACACGCAGTGGCGCTCCAGCCCGCGCTTCCGCGTGCACCGCATGTCGGAGGTGCGGCCGGACCTTGTGGACGCGAAGGTGGTGGGCAACGTGGACCCCAAGTTCCTGGACAGGATGCGCGACGACAAGGTGGAGCTGGGCGAGCGCATGGGCGCGGAGCAGATCCAGGCGTTCAAGTACGAGCTGGACGTGGACGGCGGCACGGGCAGCGGGCGCGTGTGCGGTATTCTGTCGAGCAACCAGATGCTGATCAAGCAGGCCAGCGAGTACACGCAGTTCTTCGACCCGCTGCTCTGCCCGCACCGCCACTTCGTCCCCACGCACCGCTACTTCTCCAACCTCTTTTCGCAAATCGAGTGGGCGAGGTCGCACGACAACCAAGCGAGGCATATCATTCGCCACGCAAACCGGCTCGCTGGCGACGTCTGCACGTGGGAGGGCCGGCGGCTGTACTGGGCGGTTCTCTTAGCTAAGTATTCCGTAAGCGCGCTGGAGAGCGCTGCGAATGTGACGAAGCCTGACATGTTTCAGTGCAATGTGCCTCCGACGCAAGTCGACGTGGAGAACTCGTCCAAATACTCAAAGCCGAAGCCCGCCAAGTGGATCCCGCGTTGCAAGGTGCCCGAGGAGTTGCCGAACCAGCCGCCATGCACGCACTTCTGCGCGGGCCCGCTGGACGAGCCTGAGAAATGGAAGTGGTTGCCTTCGAGTCTGCTGCATGGCATTGAGGTGTTCAAACCCGACAACAGCAGAATTAAGTTCAGACCATCGTGAAGGGAGCAGATTCCCGCCATCTGATTGCCACACCGAGGGCAATAATCTAGTTCAATAAAGCTCAAGCAACACCAACTCCATTCCGCCAACCACGGTTGATGGAATAATAAAGTGTTACTACCAGCCAATAAATAATAATTTGAATAAGATGTTTCTGTAGCTTGTGATCAGGGCCCAAAATTGGTTTTAGGCCACTCTTTGAAATCAGAGCAGGAAAAAAAACCCTGACGGTCAGAGATAAAAATATTCTAAGTCTGATTTGGCAGGGTAAAAAATTTCGAAGTCTTTGCTACCACGGGCTAGAATAGCACACCAGTGGAGCTCTTGAAAAAATGTTTCGTTTTGGGGCAGACCACGTGGTGCGTTTTCTATTTCTGAAATGGTATGGGACTCGAAATTGTTTGTACTGCGTGTCAGAAACTAGCTTAGCTAGGAAGCCATAGAATGGCACAAGGTTTAGCTAGGAGCTAGGAGGAGCCATGAGAATGGCGAGAGGTTTTAGGTGCTAGGAAAGTTGAAGAGAGAAAAGGTGTTGGATTAGAAGAGAGGGGAGTACAAGGAGGGGTTTGTACCCCCTACAGAAAGGTTCAGTAACAACCTACCAAGCCTATATTAAATTATAACTTATATAATTTGAACACACCCCCTAGGCTTGGTAGTCACATGCCCACACACACCCACACCCCCTAACCTAGCACCCCCATTCCAGCCACAGTGACAGCGACTCTAGGTCGGTCGACCCCACGGCGCGTGAGGCGGCGACGTCGACTGCAGGGGCTGCGGCGGCGACGGCGGCGACGGCGGCAGCGGCGGCAGTGTCGACAGCGGCGGCGGCGGCGGCGTGCGGCTGCGTGGCCCTGACGCAAGCGGCGACAGCGGCGGCGGCGGCGGCTTCGACAACAGCGGCAGCGGCGGCGGCACCCGCACCTCTCGGTGACGTGGCCAGGCCCCGCGACGGTGGGACGGCCGGCGGGAGTCAGCCGTCGTCTGCGGAATGGAAGAGGGCACAAGGGAAGGAGGGGGGTGGGGGGGGGGGGGGCGCCACAGGCTGACATGCGGACGGCCGGTCTAGCGGCGCCACAAGCGTCACGCGGCCGGCTGCAGCCCGACGACGCCGTCATGGAGCGGCGTCGATGCCGCAGCGGGGCGTCGACGTTGCGACGGCAGCACGACGTCGCCGTTACGCCGACCGCGCGCTGTCGCGTAGACGCCGCGGCAGCGTGACGGCGCCGTCACGTCGCGACAGCATCTTGACGCGACGGCGGAGCTGCGGCACGACGGCGCGGCCACAGCAGCTGGACGCGGGCGCCATGGACGTCGACGGCGGCGCCGCGGCACGACGACGCGGCCACAGCAGCTTGACGCGGCCGCCATGGCAGCGCGAGATAGAGAGAGAAACGAGCACGCAGCGGAAACGCGAGGAGCAGGCCCACGCGGAACGAACTGCTCTAATACCATGTCAGAAACTAGCTTAGCTAGGAAGCCATAGAATGGCACAAGGTTTAGCTAGGAGCTAGGAGGAGCCATGAGAATGGCGAGAGGTTTTAGGTGCTAGGAAAGTTGAGGAGAGAAAAGGTGTTGGATTAGAAGAGAGGGGAGTACAAGGAGGGGTTTGTACCCCCTACAGAAAGGTTCAGTAACAACCTACCAAGCCTATATTAAATTATAACTTATATAATTTGAACAATGCGAAGTACCTTTGCTACGTTATTGGTGCGCGATGATTGATTTGGCGCCAGGTGCTCGGCGGATCAAGTTGCGACTTACCGCTCACACGGCTCAGTTTTTTCAAGAGCTCCATGGGTGTGCAATAGGTTTTTAACCCGAGGTTTACCTGGGTCGCATTTCGCACAACCCATGTGGTTGTTCGGCACATAAGTTGCACAGTTCACCTCCACCCTAGTCGCGAGTCGCGGTCGAGGGAGCTTCGTAATGTGAAGCCTTAACACGTACGCCGAATACTTCAGTAGTTTTTTTTTTTTCGTTTCACCAAGTTGGCAAAAAGTCAAATGAGTCGCGCACGCGTTTCCCGCCTCGTCGCACACGCGTCAAATCGGCGCCACTACGTTTCTATCATTGTTCAGCTGCCCAAAAACGCACCTCACAAAATAGTGCTGGGAACCCGTTTTTTTTCAAAGAGCCATCTTCAAGAACGGCGCTCTTGAAGCCCTTTGCTATTTTAGCCTGTGGTTTTAAGTGTAGAACTCTTTGCACCCTTTCTAGCTTTGGCCATTTAAGGAACATTTTACATGAATGAAGTCGGCAGCACTGAGCTGTGGAAAGAAGTGTATTCTGTAGCGGATTTGAGCGTGCTAGGAAAGATTGGGGGATGGGACGGAAAACGATTATGGGGCGCAAGAGGGGAATCAGATTTACATGGGCGACAGAGGGGCACGAAAAAAACCACCTGCTCGTGATTGGTTGGGTGTCAGAATGGCGTATACGACGTGACGTGTCTTGCTGTGGTGTGCGTTAAATTACATATGTTAGTACATAATTGTAGGCTTGGTTGTGGTTACTGAACATTTCTGTACAGGGTACAACACCCCTCCTTGTATCCCTCTCTCTTCTTTTATAGTTCTCTTTTCTCTCACCAACTTTCCTACCCTAAAATCTCACGCCATTTCCATGGCTCTTCCTTCTACATAGATCCTAGTTTTCAGATATGGTATCAGAGCAGGTTCCCTTCCTGGGCCTGCTCCCCTCGCTTCCGCTGCGCACTCCCTCCCCCTCATGCCGCGCTAGCCCGTCGTACCGCGCTGGCCTCGTCAATCCGCGCTGGCCCCGTCGCGTCGCACGGGCCACGCTTCCGCCGCGTACCCGTCCTTATTTCGCTGCCCTCGCGGCCTTCCGTTTGCCTGCTGCCGTGGCACATTTTCCGAGATGCCGCGGCGGCCTCTGTGTGCTGTCGTCTCAGCGTAGACGAGCAGCCGCGGCCCTGACGCCACGCTGTGGTGGCGTCGTAGTGGTGCCGTGGCGGTGTCGTCGGCCTATTGCCGTCGCGCACCACCTGCGTCGCTGCTCGACTTGCAGCCCGCCCGCACGCCAGTAAGCGCCGCGCCAGCAATGGCGCCACGCTAAAGATCCGAAGCCCCGCCCCTTCCCCCTTCCCTCTGTCCCCTCCTCTTCGCCACCGCCGTCGCCTGACTCTCGCCGGTCATCCCCCTGTCGCGGAGTTTGGACACGCCGCAGGAAGGGCGCGGGCCGCTGCCGTTACCGTTGTTGTAAGCCGAAGCCGTCGCCGTCGCCGCAGGCCTGTTGCCGCCGCACGCCCGTCGTCGCCGTCGCTGTCGCCGCTGCCGGGACGGCCACCGTCGCCATCTCTAGGGCCTTGGAGTTGGGCCCTGCTGGAGTAGTCGTGGCGGATGGGAATGAGGATGCTAGGCTAGGGGGTGTGGGGGTATGTGGGTCCTTGCTACCAAGCCTAGGGGGTGTGATAAATTACATATGTTAGTATATCATTATAGGCTTGGTAGTGGTTACTGAACATTTCTGTAGAGGGTACAACACCTCTCCTTGTATCCCTCTCTCTTCTTTTCTAGTTCTCTTTTCTCTCACCAACTTTCCTACCCTAAAACCTCATGCCATTTCCATGGCTCCTCCTCCTACCTAGATCCTAGTTTTCAGACAGTGTGGAGGACTTAGCGAAAAAAAAAAAGGAAAGAAAGAAAGAAAAAAGAAAAAAGAAAAGCGGGGGTGTGGGTGGGAGGCATGTCTCTTGTGGGGGACTTAGCCATTTCTGGGTTGCGAGGGGGTGAGGGAGTTATGACCAAGGTGTTAGAAAGAGAGAATGAACGGACTAGTGTGAGAAACCTAAAACATGTACCTGTTGGGGTTGTACTCACTAGAAGCACACACCTAGGCTAGCCTATAACTTCTACATACAGCATATGTATAAGTTGACACACCCCCTAGGCTAGAGAAGGGGTGGTGCTAAGCAAGAAGCACACATCTCAGGGTGGCACTACTAGTCCAACCACTGAGGTAGGGTTCGTGAGACCAGTCAGCAAGAGGACAAGCAAGACTAAAGCAAGCCAGGGCGGCACTACTAGTCCAGCCACTGGAGGTAAGGCCACAAGGCCAGTCAGACAGGTATGTATAATAGAGAGTACACAATCAGGGTCCTAACAGGTGAGTAGCTACAGGAACAAGACCAAGGTGTACACAGTGCCGCTGATGATCTTTAGGCGCAAGCGCCTTAGTAAAGATATCAGCTGTGTTGGCACCTGAGGCTAAGTGAACTACGCGGGCCTGGCAATGCTGCTGTAGCTCGCGCAGAAGGAAGTACCACAGCTAGATATGCTTCGCTCTGCCCTCAAGCCGAGGCTCCTGACACAGGAGAATCATGGCCCTGTTGTCAGTGTACAGGACCGGGGCAGAGCTAGGCTGCTCACCTAAGTCTGTGAGCAAGAAGGTCAGCCAGCGGAGCTCCTGTGCCGCCATGGCACCGGCGTAGATCTCAGCCTCACAGCTCGACTGAGCAACAGACGACGAGCGAGTGGATCTCCAAGAGATAGCACCCGAACCAAGGCTAAAACAGTAGCCCTGAGACGAACTGAGTGTCTCAGAGTCGTCTGCCCAAGAAGCGTCTGTGTGCCCAGTGAGGACCACCGGCCTGCGTCCTCCTAGCACTAACCCCATGCCTGATGTAATTGCTAGATATCGTAAAACCCTCTTCGCGGCCGACCAGTGCTGTTGTCCGTGTCTGCCAGTGGCCACAAAGCGAGCCAGGATGCTGAGAGGGTATGCGAGATCTGGGCGAGTGCAAGTCATCAGGTACATGAGACAACCCACCAACTCTGCGTAGGGGCCGCTGGGCTCTACTGGCTCCTCAGGAACGAGAGCGGAGAAGCCATGGTCTACACGTAGAGGTGTGGGCTATGCGGAGGAGAACTGAAGATCGAACCTCTGAAGGACCTGACGCACCAAGTGTGACTGTGTCAGAGTGATGGTGCGTGCTGCTCTGTCCCTAGAGATCTGCAGGCCAAGATAACGACGCAGCTCTCCAAGGTCAGTGCAGGTGTGTCTCTTCAACAGCTCGGCCTTCACGGAGGCCAGTGCATCCCTGTCAGCAGTAGCGAAGACCAGGTCATCTACGTAGACAATGATGTAGAACGGAGTCTGGCCGGAACGCACAAACAGCAAGGGGTCAGCAGAGGACG